GGGGGGGGGGGGGGGAGAAGCAGTGGCAGCAGCAACGTCATAGAGTGAAGCAGTGAGTGACAGCTGGCGGGGTGGCAGGAGCCTGGGGCCTACTCCCGCATGTAGTGCTGGAGCGGGCAGGGAGGAGTGGTGGTGGCAGCAGCAGTGAGAAGGGGCGGGTGGGTAGGAAGCAGCATGAGTGTGGAGCCCAGGCAGGCAGGGCCCAGGGTGGGGTGGCAAGAGCCCGGGGTCTACTCCGGCACGCGGTGCTGAACCAGGTGGGGAGAAGCAGTGGTGGCAGCAAGAAGGGGCGGGTGGAGGGCCGGGCAGCGTGAGCATGGAGCCTCAGCCGGTGGGGCCTAGGGCACGGTGGCAGGAACCTGGGGCAGCTGGTGGATAGGGAGGAGCAGCAGCAGCAGCAGCAGCTATCTTCTTGCTGTAATCTCTGGGCGGGCAGATCCTCAATTCAGGGGATCCACAGGCAGGGGAGCTGGGGCTGCGCACAGGTGTGCTGGTGGGTACAGGCCAGCAGGGGCCATTGTGGCAATGGAACAATGAGGCCGGGAGGAGCTGATGCCTTTCCTGGCGGAAACCATGCAGTGCCTTGCTGGGACCACAGGGTCCGCCAACAGATGGTGCAGAACCAAATATATTTATTTACATTAAATCCTGTAGGAAAATAGGTTTTCATTTAATGCTGTTTCACTTAGCGCTCAGGTTTTCTGGAACCAATTAGGAGTGCTACACATGGGTTGCCTGTATATTAAAAGCACAATCATACTTCGATCACTTAATGCATAATTTTTTGTTTGTTAGTTTGTTTGTTTTTTTAAATCAATGTCATATATTAACATGGCAAGTGGCCTGGAGAAATCCAAGTATGATATATCAACATAGTTGCTGTTTAGTCAGACCTGTAATTTTGTCACCCCAAAAAATTTGATAAAGACCTATTTTCTATAAAGGAATGCTCATTGACATTAGTTATATTCAGAGCGAAAAACATTTATGAATAGAGTTTATTAATAAATTTACCATTCCATTATCTCCACCTAGGATAAAGAACAAGCTAACTTGAGCTTTACATGTCGTCTTCAGCCTTTAAATGCAACTGTATTAATCATTTTTCAAGCCCAAGGTTTCTCATCTTAGTTGCCACTTCTGCTGTAGCAAAGGACTATTTCAAAAACAAAATAGGCTTTAATCTGGTAGTGATAACAGCTCTAAATTAAAGTGGCATAGCATACCATCAATAATTTCACTGTTCTGCAAATGAACTACACTGCCTGCAGTTCTGCCAAGACTGCAACCATCAGGAATTCACATTAGAAGTGCACTCATTACAATCCTAACCTAATGTCCTGGAAGTAAGGGATCATAGTAATCCTATCTTAATCTGATTAAACATTAAAGATGAAATATTCCATTTTCAACTGAACAGTGTTATGCATTCACCTGTATTCATATCTTTATATTCTGCTCCAAAATGTCTCCACTGGAAACCATAAACAGGTCCTAAATCACCTTCCACTCTGTGGGTGAAACCTTGTTTATCCAAGAACTCACGTGATCCATTGGCATCCCAAATCTTGACTCCCTTTGCAGAGAGCTCTTTAGCATTTGTAGAGCCCTACATGGTAAAAGAAATACAGCAAAAATAGAAACTCTAAACCCAGGGTAAATACTTGAGTTTAAGTGTTGGTACTAAATTATGCTATTCTAAATTTGCTTTTTTCCTTATTGTGGAAAGGACAAGTAGTCTCCTGATTAAATGTATTGAATCACAGACAGATTATTATATGCTTGTTTGTAGTTGACACACTGTATTACATTGAAGAAATAGAAGACTGCCATTTCTTCCTTCTCCTTACTACTTTTATTTTCTTGCAGTTTCTAGCCTGTTTATTAACAGAGCACATGAAACTCTCCCATGTAGTACTCCATCTCTGTATGGACCCTTGAGGCAAGAATATAAAATTGAAGTGAACAGAGCATTAACTTCACTCTGCAACAGTCCAGTTCAGACTTACTGTAGATTCACATCTAAAACACTACTAGCCTTTGATGTCAAAGATGCAAACATAAAAACAAGTTTCTGATTTAACTCAAAAACTTTTTATCTGACATTTCACATAGGCATTTCAACACTTAGACAAAGGATATTCTCAATGCATCAAGGAACATCATCTAAATGGCAACACACTTAGGCCTGGCCTATGCTTCATTTTTGTTAGTAAGTGTGCTAGATTTGTGCTTTGTTACCAACTGTTACACCAGTGAAAACCCTACTATAAAACAGTTTGACCAGTAAAAAGGTCCAGTATAGTGACATGCCATCATTCAGTTTCCAAAGTGTTATAAATTATGTCAGCACAAAAACACTTTTATATTAACCTAACTTCATGCACTCTAGTGGCGTTTTCCCCACTTTAGTGTTATAGCTAAAAAAACTATATGGTTTTCTGGTATATACAAGCCCTTAAATCTTCAGGATATTTCACTGAAGAGCAAAGAGAGTTAAAGGCAATTGTCACCAAATTCCAGCATTGTGTTAGCGTCTTAATATTTTGCACGAAACTAATGTATTGAAGGTAGGATATCTGCAAATAAACGGGAAACTAGTCCACAGGTGTAGGCTGTAGCCGTGTTCGTCTAAGGACATAGGCAGACAAGGTTCTTTGGGTGAATCTGATATCTTTCATTAGACCAATTTAAATAATTGGAAAAAAAAATTTTAGCAAGCTTTTGGGTTTAAAAACCCTTTGTCAGGCCAAGGAAGCCTCTGCAATTATACCAGCCCAGCCTCTGGCTTCTTTAGTATTCATTCCATCCAGGAAGAGCACAACCGCAGAGGCATTCTCAGCCTCACAAACAGTTTTTAAACCTGAAACCTTACTAAAAACATTTTTCCCCCAACTATTTAAGTTGATCTAATAAAAGATATCAGATTCACCCAAAGAACCTTGTCTGCCTGGAAACTAGTAGGATGTTCCAGTGTGCTTGTTCCTTTTATGAAAGCATAGAGTTTAAAATACTTCCTACTATATTTTTTAACGGAACAGTTTTCAGGGCACCTTAGTTAGATACCCATCATACCTTGATAAACCAAAGCAGCTCTTCCAGAATTCCTTTCCAGAATACTCGTTTTGTTGTCAGCAAAGGAAACTGATCTTTAAAAAAAAAAAAAAAAAAAAAATTAAGTGTCAATGAAGAAGTGGTACTTTATACTAATCAAGTATTACACATTGCTCTTCACATTTGTGTTATGACCCTAAATTGGTAAGTCCAGGGAATTACAACCACAGTGGAGGCGGAGTTAAGCACGGCAAAGGATAGGTATATGCAGTTGATAAATAAGACTCTCATCAAGTTTACGGAAGGAACAGTATCACAGGTATTCCTGGAGTAGTATGAGGAGGATGTGATGTGTATCATTGAATACTTCATTTCACTAAGAGCAGATTAAGAGGAAACCTGGTGTTTACATGGGTTGACCTCATGTGTACAAGGTGTATATTAATCCAGTGCTTCAGGGCTTCTGTTGGTCTTTACCCCCTCCCACCCCTTCCTTGGTTCCTAGGGATTTTTTTCCCTTTCTTAAGTGCTAGATATTTGTCATAGCTATGGAGATAAGACTGCCTTTGGTGCATTAGTTCTTCTAAGTCAGCACTTCTCAACCTTTTTAGAAGGCAGGGTAGATTTGCACCCTATAAACTAACCAAAGTAGATATTTTATACAGCATGAGCTTTTGTGGGCTAAAGCTCACTTCATCAGATAGCTGTGAAAGGATGTGTGCAAAGCCTTGTAGAAGGAGAAATTAGAACACAAAAGGCAGAAAGGAGAGGGGAGGCAGTTCTGACTCCGAGCACCCCTCATTAGAGTTAAGGTGCCCCTCTGAAAATATCAGCTCTTAAATTTTGCTTGTTCTTTGACTACAGAAAAATAATAGAGCGATTCTGCTGTTACAAAGGATGCAGAAAGAGAAAGTCTGAATGTTTTGACACTATGGAGTCCTATCTGAAATCCCTGGGCATGTCCCCATGAGTGGTTGCAGTGCCTCAAAGCCATTTGAGATGCCACAAACTGCATGTGGCACATGTGCACCACACTGCTGATTAGCAGCACAGTGAGGATTTTTTGACACCAGATCCCAGTGTCAAAAAACCCCCTCAAAACACCACTAAAAAAAAAAAAAAAAGGGGGGCAACACACATGGCAGCAGGGTGTGCTGCCAGGAACTGGAGCCTGGTTGGCCAGAGACACGCTGGCTGCCAGCCAGGCTCGGAGTGGCCAGCTCAGTGCTGCTGCCGCCTCAGGAGGCCTCCAGGTAAGGCTGTCAGGGCCAGCCCCAGCCTCCTCTACCCCACCTGGGTTCCTTTGCCACATGCCAGAGCGTACATGCACACCCAGGGACCTGTTGCACAAATATGTGCCACTGCTGTTTGTCCCGCAGGAAGCACATGCCCCTGCATGTGTGCTTTCTGGGTCTATCAGCTGAATCACTTGTAGGTATTTCTGCAGGTAAAAGCGCTATATTCAAAGGATCTCCCAGTACCCTGATTGGGGACCAGGGTTCTCCGTGGTCCTTAGAAGGTGGCTGGTGAACATGGGTTCACCAAAGCTCGTGCTCTCTCTCGCCATATACCCATGTCTTATTTAGTTAGTCTATAAAGGTGCGCATCCACCCTGCCGCCTGACTGAGTGCAGAGTAACAGGGCGAACGCCGCTCGGCTCATCCTGGGTTTTGCTCAGCTTAAATCAAATGCCTGATGTGGGGCCAGGAAGCATTTCCCCCAGGCAGCCTAGCATGCTTTGGGACCGAGGGCTCTCCGTGCCGAGAGTTGGATCCCTTCCCGTCCTACCCCCACAGCAGTCCGCCTCCGCCCGACAGCAGCGGCCGGGCTGGCCCGCCTGGAGGGGCCTCTTGGGGCAGGGCAGGGGGAAGGCGGTCACCTCGGAGGCTGTATCGCGCCTGGACGCCGAACATGGACACGGTGCCGGTGCCGGTGCGATCGTCCTTGCGGTGGCCGCGCTGCAGGATGTGCCGCACCTGCTCCAGGTACTGCAGCTCCCCGGCAGCTGGCGGCGGCGCAGCGGGCTCCACGCTCAGCGACTGCGAGTCAGCAGGCATGGCTGGGCTGGGCTGGG